TTTTTTACTTACCCAAGAAACCATTGGACTTTGACTCAATCTCATTTGAATTTACTTCCCAATCATTGGATGTTGAATTATTCAGTACTTTAGGACTGTCTTCGAAGATAGCCTTAAAACCAGAGTTATAAGGTAAGGACATTTCGAAATCCAAATTTTCTTCTTTTAGCAAATCATCAATGTGTTCACCTAAACAAGCATCAATTTCTTTTTCCCCATCAGTACAACTTCTAACCATGTGAAGAAAACTGTAAACATTCATCCCTTTAATTTAGCTTGATCTTATCAGTAACTATACATAGACTACAACTATAACAAACTACTCTAAGAGAACACAATACACAATGATGATTGTAATTAACTGATAAAAGGATCAGTCCCAATAGAGTGAGTGTAATGGGTAGTCCGATAATCTAGTTAAGGGTATTCAAATTGATACTAAAAACAACTACTGTGAATATGATGTAGAAAATATATCGAAAATTAGATTTGAATTCTCTCCAAAAGATGTATATGAGTATATACCTTATTGTCTGATATTCTGAATATGGATTATCTATGGTTTTGAACAGGTCTGATGATTATATGATAGTGGGATAAACAAAATACAAATTATATTGGACTCTGCCTAACACATACAAATGGATATACCGGCAAATATATCCTTTGATAATTATCGATAGACATTATTCTTTGATAATTAATGATAGATATATCCATCGATAATTACCAACGACTTATATCCGTCGGTAATAATTACCAGCAGTAAAATTATAGATAGATATTTGATCGTCTGTAAAACGTCACAAAATATTCCATTACAGATGAATATTAGTTGTTATTAAAAAATTTCGTCTATTAGTATCCATTAGTGCATAAATGGACTTTAACTTCACCCCTTAGACATCGAACCACCAAATATCCAACTTATAAAAATGACCGGTGACATTTCCTAAATAAAATTTGCATTGAGACGTCTGATTGGGTGGATGTCCAAATTGACTAACACGCCAACTCCCCATAAATGGATGTAAAAAATATTGCAGAAATTAATTTTTTATTCGTTTTAGACGTCCAACTTGAGAGCTCGTGACGTCTAATTCGTATTTAGACGTCCAATTATTCAATTGGATGCCAAAATGGTCGCGCCAGAATCACAAAAGCCATTTTTTGATGCCATTTAGACATCCGACCCCGCCACCTTGATGTCTAAATAAGCCTTAGACGTCCGATTCTCCCGATGGGACGCCAAAATGGTCAGCCCATAATCCCAAAAGTCACTTTTTTTCGCCACTTAGACGTCTGATCCTGCCACCCCGATGTCTAAATACGAATTAGACGTCAACCCCCCTAAAGTCGGACGCCAAATGGCCAGCAGAGGTAGGGAAAAAGTGACTGTTGCATTGTACTTATACGTCGGCTAGTCAGACCTCACATCTAAGCACCCCTTAAACGTCGGGGCCCCTAAAGTCGGACGCCAAAGGCTCCGCCAAAATTAATTTTTTAGATGATTTAAACGTCGGCTTGGGAGAGGCCCCGACTTTTAGATGAATATAGACGTCGGTCACTAAGGGGGACCAACGTCTAAAATATATTATTACCTTTATGCGAGTTCGCGAGCAGTTACACACACTGGCATCATTTTCCCCCTCGCGTTTTCTTTCCTCAGTTTGCATTTTCCAGGTGTGTTTTCTCTCTTTTGGATGTTTAAACTTAGTTTTGCTCCGATTAAATTACTCTTTGATGAATTATCTTCCATTTGAACCGATTAAAATGCGTTTTCGTTGTGTTTTTGTGCAGTTTCTCGCGTGTTCTTGGGTGGCAATTTTGAGCATGTTTGGCCTGCGAATTCTTACGTGCACTCCTCCATTTCCCTCCATTGCTTTTTTAATATGCTAACAAGGTTAGCTTTGTTGTTGAAAAATTTTTTGTGTATGCATCTTATTGGCTTTTGGGTGTGCATGTTATTGGCTTTTGAATATATGCATGATAAAGTTTATTGTGTTTTTATGATTGGCATGTTAGATTATAAGTATCAAATTATTGAGTGAAACTTAGTTCCCGTTTGAAATTTAACACAAACGATTAATCTTTTAATCATTTGTATTAAATTTTGAATTGTCTGATTAAACAGTTTCGAAAAAATATTTTTCATAATTTGCTATAACATGTACGTGGGAGTCTATGGATAAAATTGATAAAATTTCGATTCAGATTATTTGTATTGTTCTCCGGATGCATATTTGATTGTGGTTATCTCTGACCACTTTCATTTCGTATATTTCAGAGACCAATGCGAAATGCTGCCGAAATCTTATAAAACTTATCATGTTAGACTTCTTTGCACGTGTTTTAGAAAATTATAAAGAAAAAAATTCTGAATGGGTAGGACCTAACCTTGTGAGAGTTAAAAAATTGAAACTGATGAAGTATGTTACGAACATAGTATGGATCGAAGCTAGATGAATGAATGTCGCATCAGTGAAGAATATGAGAAGGGTGTTTCGGAGTTCTTGCACTATATTGTACAAAATGCAAAGTCTGTTGAACGGGACATATTTTTGTCCTTGTGTTCGTTGCACAAATCAAATTCATCTTTCATTAGATATATATTAAACTGTGCTGGGACAATTATCAGTTTTTCAGATGTGGTTTTATTGCAAAAATAAATTAATTTTTTAAAGAAAAAAAAACACCCAGTAGACATTCGTTAGTGTACAGTCCGACGTCTGTCGGTATACACACAGACGTCCAATGGATTATAGAGGCTGAGCACGTTCCAGGGTCTTAGACGTCTGATTTGTGTGGTCAGACGTCTATATAGACGTCTGATTGTACAGGTTAGACGTCTATATAGACGTCTGACTGTGGGTTCGATGTCCCATTAATATCACCCGTATAGACGTCAGGTCAAAATCAGACGTAAAAAGATTACAATAACATATATCTAAAGTCTTTTCTACACTAATAATTTTGCATTTTTTTAGTGTTTGCACGACTCATTCTTCTTAACTTGAGACCTAAATCTAGGTAAAGGCATACATGTCAATCTTTATGACAAACTTGATTATCAGTATGTATCCTCCAATTATAAGCTTCTTCAGTCACAATTCCATTAAAATCTTCTCTTTCAAAACTTGTCTCAATATTATATTGAAACTTATAACAACACATTATGAAGTTTCCACCGGTGTTCTTTTACCTCTTCTACCATTTTTTTTATCAATAAATATTAATTAATTATTAATATTTTAGTAATTGAAGAATTGAACTCACAATATCTCCTTTTTTTTTTTTAAATCATCAAACTAATCTTGTTTTTAGACTATCTACAAGCGTGACAATTTTATCTTGTGCTATATATTTTTGTTAATGCCTATATATAGTTTCTTGGTCAAACGGTTGTCTATGTCTCATTAAATTAAATTGGCAAATTTTTATGCTTGATAGCTTAGAATATATATAACAATATATTTTTTTTGTTTTATTTTCTTTTATATCAATTGGTTTAATTATTACTGTTTCAATTTGATCGATCAAAGTAATATGTTATAAGAATATGAGAAGAAGAGGGTGAAAAAAAAATTAAGTGAGTTAATGAGCCAACCCGTTTAACCCACCAACCCGTGGTGGGTCGGGTCGGGTTCGAATTTTTTTAACTCGTTAATAAATGAGCCGAGTTGGGTTGACTCACTAAGTGACCAACCCGTGGTTGGTCGGGTCGGGTCAGGTCGGGCCGGGTAACCTGTTTTGACAGCTCTATCATTATTAATGATAATAATAATAATAATAATAATAATAATAGAAATACATTATCATAATACTAATAATAATAACTATAATAATAATAATATATAAGGATAATAATAATCGTAATAATAACTATAATATTGATTTTTATATCAATTCTAAATTAATATAGAAACTTTTCTTTATCGATTAAAAGTACAATTGGTAAAAAGAAAAGTCTCCTAAAAAACAATCATGAGATGAACCTTCTACGAGATGCGAAATTTCTATTTATAATGTAATCACAAACACAATTTATATCAACTCATAATTTTCGCATTCTAAACATGATTTTTTATTTCTGAACAAGTTTTCGAACTAGATAAGATGCATGGATGCTTTTTTTATTTTGTTATGATCATTGATTATCCAAGTTTACCACACTAATTTGTTTTGAAAAATAACACACGTTCACTACAACCACACAAATATATTGATAACTTATGATTGCTAAACTACAAAGAAAGATAAACCAAAAAGATAGAAGATCACANAGTAAAAAAAACAATTTAACATTATAAATTATATAAAATAACAAATGTTACATTGCATTAAAAGTTGTAATAATGAAACTCAACATAACAATTATTTAAATTAAGAGAAATAATTAAATTAAATTAATCAACATAAAAAATTAAAATTTTATTAGTAGCTAATTAAATACGTGCTAATTAATTTCGAACGCGAATGAGAATGCTAAAATGAATTTACAAGAAAATAACTCTCCAATAATTAAAGGATTTTTTTATTTGACGATAAATATATGATTATCTCATCTTTAAAAATTACTATTATTATTATTTTTTTACAAAATAATTGTATAACAATTATTATTAATTTTTTTAATTATTAAATAATTTTTTTAAATAAATAATTTTAATTCATTTAAAAATTTTTTTTTTTTTTTTTTTATTTTTATTTTTTTTTTTTTTTTTTTTTTTTTTATTTGTTTAATTAATTTTTAATTTTTTTTTTAAATACAATAACTTTCACCACACTTAGGAGTGACACCAGTGAGTTGATAAGACATTGTGAACAGTTCCTTTTTCTATCTTCTACCGTATTTCTTTCGAAAATTTAAGTCCACAATATCTCATAATAATAAATCAAAACCTTATCCTTAGGGACTGAAAATATAAATTTATGTATATATCTTAAGGTTTATAAATATAGCTGCGTTGATCTCAACTTTTGTGCTACCTTTCCAAAACTCTTATTCAAAATTTAATATCAATGGCTCCCAGAGTCAATTTTGACAGGGAACAAAACCAGGTTTTTTCTTCTTATTCTATTCAAAATCCTTTTTATTTTTATAGTAACGTCGCTTCAACATGATCAACCTTCAAATTTATGTTGTACTTTTATATTAAATTTTATATCATTTATCATACTAAGTTGTCTCTTCTATTGCATGATCAACCTTCTTTATAGGTACTTTTCTCAGGAAGTTCTTCTGTGAAGTTAGTCATACTAAACAGACCTCGGAAGTTGAACAGCCTTAACCATCAAATGGTAAGTTCATAAAGTTAATTCTTCCAAGTCTTAAATTTATCAAATTTGAAGTTATAGGAAGGTTTGACATAACTGATAGCTGGAAGGATGGTGGATGATTCTCAATAAAGATGAAAGTCCTAAACTTTATATATATATATATATATTAATAATAAAAGATATGTTTATTTGCTTAATTTTTTTCTATTTAATAAAAGCAGAAAAAAAGAAAAAAATACAAATTTTATAATCACGTCATCACGTAATCAATTCTGTTTTTGATAATTTAACATAAAAAACGTGATTCATATAATTTATATTATTTTAAGACAAAATATAAATATTTTTAAAAATAGATACTAAACAGAAGAAAAAAGAACTCTAAATATAAAGTTCAAGTAAGAAATTAATCCTAAAAAATAAATAAAAATATCACTGCATTTATTACTTTTTAGACCATAGCTACAAGATGTGATATGTAAAAAAAAGGTGTGACTTATACTTTAAGAAACACTTTGGTAACGATTTTCTAGACATAAAGGATATGGTCATAGCCTTAAGCCTAGATTATATGCTAGCATACTAAGAACATTTGAGTGTTTTATCCTTTTACAAACTATAAGATTTGTGAATTTACGTATAAAGATTAAANTGTGGTTGTGTAGAAGCCCTAAACTATTAGATGCCTCATGGACCATTGAGGTAAGTTATGAGTTCTCATTTGTTTGTATTTAAGTTCTTAAGGTCTGGATTTCTATTTAACTGTCGCACCATGACCTTTTAGATATTGGGATAGTAGATAAAAATTAATCAATATCTATTCATAGATAGTAGATAGAAATGAAGCTTCACATTTTAGTGCAGTTTAATAGTCATCATTAGATTTTTGTGTTTGCTTGACCTGTTTTGTTTACAACCATCACAACCTTCACAACTATCACAACCACTTGACTTAAAAGAATCTTCTAGTGTGACAGTTTTCCTTTGTTTGTTCCAACTTTTTTACTTACCCAAGAAACCATTGGACTTTGATTCAATCTCATTTGAATTTACATCCCAATCATTGGATGTTGAATTATTCAATACTTTAGGACTGTCTTCGAAGATAGCCTTAAAACCAGAGTTATATGGTAGGGACATTTCGAAATCCAAATTTTCTTCTTTTAGCAAAGCATCAATGTGTTCACCTAAACAAGCATCAATTTCTTTTTCCCCATAAGTACAAAATATATTATTACCACTACGTGAGTTCGCGGGCAGTTACACGCACTGTTCATCATTTTCCTCCTCGCGTTTTCTTTCCTCGGTTTGCATTTTCCAGGTGTGTTTTCTCTCTTTTGGACTGTTTAAACTTAGTTTTGCTCCGATTAAATTACTCTTTGATGAATTATCTTCAATTTGAACCGATTAAAATGCGTTTTCATTGTGTTTTGGTGCAGTTTTTCGCGTGTTCTTGGGTGGCGATTTTGAGGGTTTTTGGCCTGCGAATTCTTACGTGCACTCCATTTCCCTCCATTACTTTTTTAATATGCTAATAAGGTTAGCTTTGTTGTTGAAAACTTTTTGTGTATGCATGTTATTGGCTTTTGGGTATGCATGTTATTGGCTTTTGAATATATGCATGTGATAAAGTTTATTATGTTTTTATGATTGGCATGTTAGATTATAAGTATCAAATTATTGAGTGAAACTTAGTTCCCATTTGAAATTTAACACAAACGATTAATCTTTTAATCCTTTGTATTAAATTTTGAATTGTCCGATTGAACCGTTTGGAAAAAATATTTTTCATAATTTGCTATAACATGTATGTTGGAGTCTATGGATAAAATTGATAAAATTTCGGTTCAGATTATTTGTATTGTTCTCCGGATGCATATTTGATTGTGGTTATCTCTGACCACTTTCATTTCGTATATTTCGGAGACCAATGCGAAATGCTGCCGAAATCTTATCAAACTTATCATGTTAGACTTCTTTGCACGTGTTTTAGCAAATTATGAAGAAAAAAAAATTCTGAATGGGTAGGGCCTAACCTTGTGAGAGTTAAAAAATTGAAACTGATGAAGTATGTTACGAACATAGTATGGATCGAAGCTGGATGAATGAATGTCACATCAGTGAAGAATATGAGAAGGGTGTTTCGGAGTTCTTGCACTATATTGCACAAAATGCAAAGTCTGTGAACGGGACATATTTTTGTCCTTGTGTTCGTTGTACAAATCAAATTCATCTTTCAACATATGAAAACATAATGAATCTTTCTTCACTTTGCAGCGCTTTAAGAGTACATCTTCTATACCAGAGGACGCAATTAAGAAGATAAGACAGGAGTTGACAACTTATCTTCTGCAAAGATGGACCTACACTAGTACAATAAGGGGAAACGACAGCGGTTATTTTTGGCTATAGGCACCGGTTTCCCAACCGAGGCATATTCAGGCGAGGTAAAAAGTCAAAGACTTTTGGTCTCGGTTGTCAACCGAGGCATAAACTCACATCCTACTGCCTCGGTTCATCTCTAANTGTATCATTCATGTAAATTTTTTGTCTTAATTTCGTAGATAATGAATAAGTTACTAATGAACGTACATTTTCATAGATAAAATTACCTACAAGCTTATTGTCTATGAAATAGGCTTTGTAGGTATCATCAAATTACCTACAAATTTTTTTTTAGTAATTGTTTTAGAATGAAATTGTGTAATACAACCACAACTTATCCACATATGTTGCAAAAAATTTAAATTGGTTTATTTATGTAATTTTTTTTAAAATTACAGTATATTGCTATAAATAATTGAATTTCAAGACTAATTCAATCTTAAAAATCATTTTTTATAGATGAAATTACCAATGATTTTATTACCTACAAAATAAACTTCTTAGAATTTCTCACCACCTATATTATATGTTATGTTGTAGATAATAATCATATTTTTTATAGTAATTCTTTTTTTAATGAAGTTGTGTCATACAAACACAACTTATCCATATATACTTAAGGAAATTTTAAATTGGTTTACTTTAGTAATTTTTTTTAATGATAACAAATTAAACTTTAAAACTAATTCAATCTTGAAAAATATTTTTCATCGATAAAATTACCTACAAATTTAATACCTACTAAATAGAATTTCTAAATAACATCAAATTACCTACAATATTTTTTCATTATCTACTGGATGTAGATAACTACCATATTTCATGTAGTGATTTTTTTACAATGAAGTTGTGTTATACAAACATAACTTATTCATATATTTAAAAAAATTAAAATTGATTGATTTATGTAATTTTCTTAAAATTACATCATAGGGATAAAAAATATTGAATTTGAAGACTAATTCAATCCTAAAAAATTAATTTATAAAATAAAAATTAAACCTACTTTTGACCGTAAAGTATTCTTGTTCCTGTTGAACGTAAACCTGAGTTCAAAAAGACTTAGTTGAACTAGAGACTATTGTTTATTATAGAAAATGTATTTTCTTAAATACAACATGCATGCATGTTGTGTTAGTGTTAGTTTGGACATTGTTTCGGTAAGGATTTGTAGGACCTGACGTGTCTTTCTTGCTTTCGGGTGTCTGGATTATCGAAGCTGCTCATTTGTCTTTCCTTTGGACTGCTCGGTTGCCTTTCAGTATGGATCGTTCGGTTGTCTTCAGTCTAGACCAAAGGGGGAGTACCTGCAAAAGGTGCTCCGACGCCCAAGTTAGGCGTGTAATTGAAGAGTTTTGGCTCTTAATTGAATACATAGTGAATGATTATCACTTTTGGAGTATTTGAGAGTATGAGTTTTGATTGTGAGTAGAATGTAAGTGGAATGTAGTGGAGTCTTAGTTGAACGTACATGGCCTTTGGTCCTGTCATTGTATTTATAAATGTTTCATAAGCCAAACAAAAACAACCTTACCTGGAGATCCGGTTAATTACTCATAAACGACTTTATCAATATATTAACAATTTATCAATATCTTTAATCAGATCTTCAATCAGATATTCTTGATTATTCCTTTGATTATTTTATCTTCTACTGGATCTTTGGCCCAATAACTTAAACGCCGGCCCAAAAGCCATTCGAACTGGTTGACTTTAGTTAATGCAGTGGATGGTGGCCTAGTTGACCATTGTTGTGGTGATGACTGAACTGTTAACAATTAATAACTGTTTGGTATACACTATATTCGATACAAACATCACTAGTAAAAAATGACGTTTTAAACGCGGACATTATGACTCGGTTTTTATGGAACCGAAGCATATTAAAACGCAGTGACAGTCTCGTAATTTTAAAAGCATTATATGCCTCGGTTGTTAAGCAACCGGTGTCTAAAGAAGATACTGATTCGGTTGCCAGAGTGAACCGAGGCCTAACCCTCACATACCAAAGATACGGCCTCGGTTACCGAGGCATATTGGGCTTCGACTGTGCAGGCCTTAAATCGAGAGCCAGAAAAACTTTTCCCCAAAATTCTCCTCCTCTTCCCCTCTTCTCTTCCTCTTCTCTTCTCTTCTCCTGCGACCACCTCTTCTTCTCTTCCTCTTCTCCTGCAACGTGCGACGATGGTGGACGCGAGGACGTGGCGGCGGCGAGGACGCGGCTGCGGCGAGGACACTCTTCTCTTCTCCTGCGACGACCTCTTCTTCTCTTCCTCTTCTCCTACGACGTGCGACGACGGTGGACGCGAGGACGCAGCGGTGACGGAGGGAGGTGACGGTGGGCAGATTTGCGCTCATAGAGGGGGCGGCGGGCAGATCTGGGCGCATGGAGGGCAGATCTGCGCGCATGGGGGGAGATGGTGGTGGTCGGAGATGCTTCTGTCGACGGTTTAGGTGGCGCGAAGAAGCTGAACCACGCCGTTGGTGGTAGTCGGAACTGCATGGTCTGTGGGCAAATCTGTGGGGGAGATGCTTCTGGCTCTGTTTCACCATGTGCGAAGAGGAAGAAATTTGGGTATGCCCTTTGCTTTGTGACACGCATTTTGCTTCTCTGGCTTTGGACATTGATGACACTGTGTTGCTGATTGAGTATGGACCGCCGTTTGTGACACGCATTTTGCTTCTCTGGCTTTGGACATTGATGACATTGTGTTGCTGATTGAGTATGGACCGCCGTTTGATTGATTCCTGTTACAGTTTTCTTGTTTGTTTTAAATTTTTGAGCTGAAATTGGAAGAAATTTTGGGAGCTGAAATTGGAAGAAATTTTGGGAGAATTCTTGGGTTTGTTTGGCATGAGAGAATGATTGAGAATGAATGAACCGAATGAGAATGAATGAACCGTGAATGAGAGTCTGAAGTATGAAAAAATAGAAAAAATAAAAAAAATACACTCTACTGCCTCGGTTATCTAAGAACCGATGCATATTCCTGTCTCGTTTTATCCCGGCCTATAACCGAGGCATAAAGTTTAACCTTTTTACCTCGTTCAGATATGTCTCGGTTGTAGAACCGATGCCTATAAACATAACCTACCGATGTCGTTTCTCTTTATTGTAGTAGTGCATAAATAATGATTTCCCTACCTTCATCCCATATACTGGTTTAAGTAGTTGTTCCATGGCTATTTGTGGCTCACAAATTCGTAGCCTTTCCCCTGCCTATGCCTTGTAGATTAATCCTGAGAAGGTTAATAAACACTGAAGAACAAAATTACGAAGTGATGAAATATCGAAAATGAAAGGGGCTTTTTGCACTCAAAAACGTTTTCTAACAATGTTCCCTTTTCAGAGCCACATGTACATTTTGCAATAACATACAAATACAAAAAAGAAAAAAGAAACACAGTTTTATGTTGTAGGAGAATGACAGTATATGGCTTTTGTTGTTTTGCAGATAGTTCAAATAAAAAATAATTTAGGGTTGTATGAGAATGACCCTTCAGTCAAACTTGTGATATTAAAGGTAAAGAAGGAGAGGAAGATTAATAAAATTCTTGTTTGGGTTTATTCCATAAGTAGTTTATCATTTCATTTTTTGTGTTAATTAGGGTAATGGAAAAGCTTTTTGTGCTGGTGGTGATATAGAATCAGCGCTTACATGTTCAATAACAGGTAGAACTTGTCCAACACCAAAATCCCCTTACACTGCATGATATCAAAAATTCCAACACTAACTTTCAATTTCCTCGTTAATGGATTTACTATTAGGATTTCTGTTATAACATATTTTGTTCGTTATTTCGGTTGCTAAACCAGGGCACTGGACCTATGCTGCTAGCTTTTACAAGAAACAACTTACTTTGAACCATTTGATAGCAACCTATAAAAAGCCTATGGTAAGTTGGTTAAGTCTCAAACCATGTATTTATTCTTTCATATCTCATGTTTTTATCATCCTTTTGAATGGTTTTGTATCAACGGTTGCAAGTTAGGTCTCTTTGATCAATGGAGTAATGATAGGAGGAGGAGCAGGTCTATCTATGCATATGAGGTTCAGGGTTGTGACTGAAAAAGCTGTATGCATATCTTCCTCTCTCCCCAAAATTAGATTTAGAACACCAAATCAAAAATATTTCAATTATCCAAATAATTTGTAACTAAATATTTGTTTATTCCTTTTTCCTTTAACATGTTACATTTTTTATCAGGTAAAATTCATGTAATGTTGGTTTATTTCTGATTTGATAAGGCTTAACAATGAAAAAGGTATATTTATGTCCCTCCTTGTGATCTACTAAATCATTTACTTTCCATGATCGATTATTTGTAGGTTTTTGCAATGCCAGAGGCATCTATAGGACTTTCTCCAGATGTAGGAGCCAGTTACTTCCTTTCTAGACTTCCTGGCTATTTTGGTAGCTGCATAAATGTGTAACAATATTTTCATGTTTGTTTTTTTTGCTTTTTTGTCTTGATATTAATTTGCAATATGCAGGGGAATATCTAGGGTTGAGTGGAGCACGTTTGGGTGGAGCAGAAATAGTAGCATGTGGTTTAGCCACACACTTTGTGCCTTCAATGGTAGAACTTATATTTTGCATACTATGGGAACATTTTGTTCATTTAGAAAAAAAACAACATATATCACGTTCATTAAGTTAAAAACTGGTGTAATTTATCGTTGGAAATCTCACCTCTACCAGAAATAAAGTCAAATTATAACAAATAAGTAAAATACAAACTTCATCTTACAAATCGATTTTATGTGATTGAATTAGGCTTAAAAACTCACTTTTTATATAATATATATATATATATATATATATATATATATATATATATATATATATATTACATTTAGCTTAACTAATGTGATATTCCCATAAACTAGTACTGATATAATCTACTGTTACACTGTGATTTTATGTTGAATTTTTAAGAAACACAATCCAAAATTCGTTTTTTTTTTCTTTTTGCAATAGAAGCTGAAGCCATTGGAAAATGATTTACAAGTTGTTAATTCTCCAAATGTTTCAACAATCACTGCACTACTACAAAAGTTCACAGACAAACCAAATGTGGAAGAAGACAGTCCTCTTAGGAGGTAAATCAGGAAAAATTATGGTTGTTGTCTTGAGATTTTGTGTTTTATGAGAATTGACACATTAATATTCTTGTCATAAAATAAAAAAGATTAGAGACTATAAACAAATGTTTCTCGAAAGGGACGTTGGAAGAAATAATTCAATCCTTGGTAAGTATTTAGATATGTACATTTTCTATTCATTATATGTTGAAGAATAAGTATATAACATTTTGACTCGTATATGTTCATAATTTATAGGAACTTGAATTAGAAAATGGAGCTGAAGAATGGATAAAAAATGCATTAAACTACATGCATACGTCTTGTCCTACTAGCCTCAAGATATTTCTAAAATCAGTAAGTATAGTAGAGAAAAAAAGATTCAATTATACATATATCCCATTATTGATTAATTTTAGCTTTGACATAATTATTTGTTTGTCCTTTTTTAATTAATGATGTTTTCTAATATTAATAAATGTTACTACTTTTACTCTTTTTATGGGAATCTTTTTTGAAAAACTTACTTTACGTCCATTTTATAAGATCACACTAAGTTTTCTATCACATAATTGTTTTATTTGTAAATGGATATATTAAGTAGAAAGATGTTAAAGGAGTTAGGCCTCAATATACTTAAGGAAAATTATCTAATATATTTAATTAAGTTAATTATAAAAGTTTAATTCTTTTGAATTGCTTGGATGACTCCTATTTCATTCACATTTCACACCAATTAAAGATAAAAATCGAAATTATAGTAACTGAATTCAATGTTGTACAAATAAATATATGTCTAAATATTTACTAATTTAAACAATGATTTGATGCATTTCAGATCAGGAAAGGAAGGGTAGAAAACCTTGATCAATGCCTTTATAGAGATTATAACATTTTCTGTCACTTGGCAAGAAAAAGTTTTGGCATCGATTTATATGAGGTAAATATTTTAGCAATAAAGTTCCTCCTTCAAATATATATACATATATATAATTTTCATTGAATATTTTTTTTCCTACTCTATCTTTTTCCTTTTTGCTAATCCTTACGGTATGATAATTTGAATGCATTTTTTTTTTCATTTGGCTTTTCATTATTATTATTATATACTCATTTTTCTCCTTACAAAAAAAAAATTAATAATACATTAATGAAGAAATTAATTTTAAGGACAGTAATATATTAATACATTTTTTTAATATTTTCACACAACATACGTTATTTTTTCATTTAATTTAAAATACATCAATACACTAACAAATAAACAAGGAATCGGTAAAAAAGTGACACGTGTTATGTGTCAAAATATTGTAAGAAATATATGTCAAATATTTTTTTTCTAATTTTATATGACTAACAATCCCTCCCTTGTTTACTAAAATCGTGCCTAGGGTTCAAGAGTAAAGATGTTTGATAAAGGTGATATACCCAAGGTAAGAGATAATATATTATTATGTTCTGGTTCTGTGGATATATTAGGGTAAATATATTTTTTTAAAAGCTCATTGATTTTGGTGTTTTGTGATATGTTTATCAGTGGAAGCCTTCAAAAATAGAGCTGGTTAGTGAAGAAATGGTGGATCAATACTTTGGCAATGTGAATGATGAAGAATGGGAATGTCTAAGATTTCCTGATAGATCCAATTCCCAGATTCAAAGCAGATTGTAGATTAAGGTTGAGGCTAATCTTAATAAGTGGTTAATTTAACAATAATTAATCAAGTGAAAAAAAAATTGTCTTTTACAATATTAGTCTTTTATCCTTAATATAAGATTACAGAAATATTCCCTGCATTTCTTTATGTTTGTCACTATTGTAAGAAAAAAAAATTATGTTCCTATTCATTCATCCTTTTTATAATTACAAGAAATTAATTATTTTTAAACAGTTATATATACCCTTAATTACTTTATTATCCTTTTTATTTTCAAACGTTATATGTATATATATTCTCAATATTATTTATAATCATTAAAAAATACTTAGTCATTTCAAGAAATAATAATTTCTAGGGTTTGAGATTCTTAACCATCTGAATTCCCCACTCGCTCCTATTTTTGAACGTTATTTAAGTTACTCATAGTAGGGTTAAGACGTATTATTACTATCTTTCTTTGTATGTCCGACACAACCCTAATGACAATTTGTTAAATCATAGTAGTTTTTGCAATCTAAATATAAATTCAAAGTGGTTCGATATTTACAAGTTTTTACTATATTTGTAAAGTATTTTTCCTCTAAACATTTCCAAAAATAATAAATGGGATAGTTATCATAAAATTGTGATTACGTATAACTATTTATTTTTTCTATAATTACATGACATTCATAAAAAAAATATTTGATTATATTTTAAAGTATTTATACAATTAATACGTGTCCGTCTAATATTAAATATTTAATAATTGATTTTATTTTATTTTCTAAAAATTATTTGTAAGATAATATGAAATAGAGATGCAAGATAAATATTAATATCTATTTTTATTTAGAAGATGAGAACATCTACCGTCCAACTCTCTCTGTCCATTTTTGTTCATATTTATATTATAATTAACGAAAACCTAAATCAACTCGTATGTCTACGAATAATGATTTCAATTTAATTAAATAGTGTTGTATTCCAACCTTAGCGATAAATGTTTATACTTACTAATTAATTCATGTTGTTACAAAATTTAGCTTTAACGTTACCACTAACATAATAGATAATTATGAAGTTTAAACATAAATTTCCTTCAAACTTTAGTCAAAATACAATTATAAGTAGAAAGTGTGTTAATGAATTGCTTCAAGTGAAATTATATAAAAAAATAGTCTTTAGCTTCTTAGTTTTTTTTTTTATTAACAAAGTGATACAATATATAAATGGTATCTACTAAGAGACACCTAAACATGTATATTTTATTATATTATAAATTTGAAATCTCATGACCTCAAAGAAGGAAAACGAAAAATAAGGGTACAATGTAGATGCAATCTTCTTATTGTTAGGTTAATTATTCGAGATTTATTTTTCTGTTGGGTTTTGTTCTTAAAAAAAACGTATCAGTGAAAAAAGAAAAAAAGTATTTAAACTGTTTTTCACATTAACTTTTAAATGATACACAGCTATTAAGTGTGATAAATACAATTATCGAATCATTACAAAAGAATAACGTATCTTCCTTTATTATCATCTCACATCTTTCTTTCAACATTTATAGTATTTGAGTAAGGGAGTTGTATTCCAGAAAAGGAAAAGAAATTAAATTATTTTATTATTGTATGATAAGATATCTGAATCGATGCAACCCAAGCGATCATCAAGGATAAAATAACGAGCTGTCATATGACTGTTCTCGAACCATCGTTCACCCGCCAGAGCGAGCGATCGTTATATCCCATTTACCGATTGTCTTTTAACGATAGTTTGTTAAACCCAGTCAAAGATAAAAGTCATGTTCGGTCAATTTTAGTCAAAACGGTTAGAAACAAGTGGCCATAAATCACGGAACCAACTAACCCAATATCCAGTACGACCAAACGGTTATATTTTCCAAGCAGTTAAGTTCTCTAACCAACCGGATTTTCAAGTAAACGGTTTACTGCTAGGTTAAATATGAAAAACCAGAAGGAAAAAAGGTACGAAAGAGTTCTACGATTCCCTTTTCTAACTTGAGTGTCGGAGTGCATTCGCAGGTACCCACCCCATTCTCCCTAGAGCATTCTGAATAGGAAGAAGACGTGAAAATAACGTCATTCTAGGAAGAAAGGATGTGACTCACCAAGTTCATATCTTGGTCTCAATTATTATACCGAAACAATTGCTAAGTAATATTGGATGATTCAATGTATAAAAAAAATTAAATACACTAAATTAATTGTCCACCTAACTTCTCTGTACAATCCATTTCCTTTGATAAGAAATGAAAAGCACTATACACGTGAAGCGTGTGAGAACTTGAAGAATTAGCATACAACACGTAACGTATCTCTTCTGAAACTCACGTTGAATATTTGCATTAAACTATTCACAGTATGATTCACATGCATATATGTGATTAACGAGAACATATTCTTATTAATTATATTATATATATATATATAGAAAGTAGTGCCTGTGTTAAGGCATGCATCTCTTTCCTTATAAACCTTTTTCATCACAGAACTATCAGCAACACATAATGCCTCTCAGTTTCAACTTCGACAAAGAACCACACCAGGTTTTCTATTTTCTGCTAATCTTTTCTTTATAAGCCTTATATTTATCTTTAGAACCACTAAAATAATTTCATAAGTATATATAAATATTGCTTTATAAAATCCATTTTGTAAAGTTGTGAATTTGAGTTTATTTTAATAATATTATTATTTGTTGAATATAAATGACTAATCTTATATTCAAAAATATAAATGTAAGTTTGAAATTCCATATTCACCAAAAAAAAATCGAGTTAGTTTAAATTTTTAATAAAATAATATGTTTTTTTATTTATTTTTTTACCTTGAAGATAATACTATTAGTTAAGAAGTAATATTAACTAGTCCTTTTATTTTTCGTATATACTATTAGTTAAGAGATAATTTTGTTTGACAGTTATGTTTTAATTATGTAATGAAAAGCAGTTAAAACTTGCAACTTTTATTTAGCTTTATTTTGCAAAAGATGTCTTTAACAGGTTAAAAATGGATTTGGAAAGTAATGGAAAAAGGGAAAACCTTAGGTATAATTTTATTGAAATTCAAACTTGAGTTAAAATTTTCATATTAAATAGAAGTACAAAAGTTAAATAACATATATTTTATTTAATATATCAATTTTTATTATGTTATTATAAATATTAGGGTTAAATAATGAGTGGTCGATCGACCACCAGACTGAGTGATCGATCACCAGACCGAGTAACCGACCGAGTGGCTGACCAACCACCAAACATTTACTGTCACTTCACACGATAATTAGGGAAGGTGACATCACACGTTGTTTGTTGTTTGCCACCCCATAGAAAACTTAAGGTTGTTGGTTTTTAAGGACTAAAATTACAAGTTCTCAAACTAAGAGAATGAAAATGAACAAACCTTTAGAAGAAGGACGAAACCCAAAATAGCTTGATAGTTAAACCCTAAACTTTTTAAATGAGTCAACCTAGCATTGTTCCAATGAGAAAAAGAAATTTTAACGTATAGAATTTTAAGATTTTACGTTAAAAATGTTAAGAAATTTTATAGAATCTTCCTGAATCTCGGAGAACAAATTCTATAATTACGGTATGTTGTCTTTATGTTTGACTATATATTCCACCTTTTTTTAAGGTACTTTTCGCTGGAAATTCTTGTGTAAAGACGGTGACTCTGAACAGAACCCAGAAGCTCAATACCTTAAGTTTTGATATGGTAAATTTCTATGCAATAAATAGTATATTTAATAAACTTTCGTTTTGTTCTTTAATATGAAACAAAATTCCTTCCACTCTGGTCTGAAAATTGTATTAAATTGATAATATTTTCTTTCACTGGACGCAGATTCGTCAAATAAAAAGGTATTTACAAATGTATGAAAAAAACCCTTCCGTGAAACTTGTAATATTAAAGGTAACTATTTTACTTTTATACCAGTGGTTTTTTCTTTCTATTTTACGTTTAAATTACATGACTATATATGTGTATAATTATTTTCACCTAATTGACCAATTAATCAATAAAATAAAATTTCTGCTTCATGTAGGCTAATGGAAAAGCCTTTTGTGTTGGTGGTGATATTGTGTCAGCAACCGTTTGTTCACTTGCAGGTACAATTTTTTATGGTCAAAACTACTTTAATTTTTGTAATGAGATTTTGATACTAATAATAAAATTATATTGATTACTTTATATTCATCATTTAAAAAATTGGTAAGAAATTTATATGGCATGGATGAGTTGATCTTGTACATGAAAGCAGGACACTGGACTTGTAGTTTGTTCTTTTACAAGAAACTGCTTACTTTGGAGTATTTAATAGCAACCTATGCAAAGCCCACGGTGAGTTCATTCAAATTATAAATATTAATTATTTATTATCTAAAACTAGAAATTTCATTTGAGTATTTAAAATTATTATATATTTTAATCTTTTACTTTCATAATTTTAATGTTTAAAATAATTATGAATTAGTAATGTGGAAAGCTAAAATTAAAGTTGTCAAAACGGGTAACCCGATTTGATCTGGCTCGGTCCACCACAGGTTGCTCACTTAGTGAGTTAACCTAATCCAGCTCACTTATTAGTTGAAACAATTCGAACCCCGACCTGACCCACCATGAGTTGGTAAGTTAAACGGGTTGACTCACTTAATTATAAATAATTTCACTCTAAATGATGTTAAATGGACAATTCAAAATAAAAAATATTATACAATTCAAACATAATCTAAAAACAAACACAAAAGGCGAACAAATCAGTTTTGAATATTAATAATTTTTGTATCATTTGTCTATTTATAATATTAGAGTCTTGAATAGATAAATCTATAATATTTTTTTTGAAACATTTTTTTTATTCACATCTACAATATAATAAAAAAAAAATACTCACTAATAATATTAAAACACAAAATAATTAATAATTAAATTAAATTATGTGGGTTGGGGAGCCAACCCGGCTCACCACGGGTTTAACCGGGTGAGCCGGGTTTTAAGTGTGCCGGGTTCTAAGTGAGTCGGGTTCAAAACTAACCCACATAAAAAAATTACATTGTTTTCAAACCCAACCCGGCTCATATCCGTGGTGGACTAGGTTAGCTCGTGAATTATAACTCATTTTGACAAGACTAGCTAAAATGTTCACTGAATAAAATGATAATATTATAATGTCAGACACTTATAATATGAATTTAAGTCTCACATTAAGAAAAATGACAATGTTGAATATTTTATAAAAATAAAATTTACAAATTTAATATTTTAAAGTTTTTAGTTGAAAATAATTAATATTCTAAACTCAATACATTAGGTTTATGGTTTTCAGTATTAGATTTCTACATTAATCTCTTTCGAAATACTTGCGAATGGTATCTTGTTCACTCGACACTGATTTTTTTTTTCTAAAAAAGAGTTTAGAGAAAATACAGTTTAAAAAGTATATAATTAATATAAAACTGAAATGAAGAGTAAGAAAGATTATGAGTTTAATTTCTTTTACTAATAATTTAAAGATATAAGATTAATTTAATAAATTTAGGAGAAAAAAAATATTATAGATTCAACCCTTTTCATTAATAACTAACATTTTCGATAAAAAAAAAAATACAAATCTACACATTTGATTGAATATGTATTAACGATTTTTGAAATCAGGTCTCTCTCATCAATGGAATAGTCATGGGAGCTGGAGCAGGTCTATCCATGAATACGAAGTTTAGGGTTGTCACTGAAAAAGCTGTATGGCTTCACTTCTTAAAATTATATTTGGTTTTTGAAATAATATTTTTTACATATTATTAAATTTCTCAGTATTTTTTTATATATATCCAGAAAATGGACCTTACATATGTATATTCGAATAAAACGTGTAACCTAAATCATTATATGTTTGTAGATATTTGCGATGCCAGAAGCATCCATTGGACATGTTCCAGATGTTGGTGCATCTTACTTTCTTTCTAGACTACCAGGCTATTTTGGTAATTAAATATGTTGTTCTTTAATTTTTCCTTCCAAATAAAAAAAAATTAACATGGAATTAATTATATTAATTTTGGTTGGATTTTTAGGTGAGTTCATTGGGCTGACTGGTGCAAGGCTAGATGGAGCAGAAATGGTAGCATGTGGCTTAGCTACTCATTTTGTCCATTCAGTGGTAAAACTATATTTAATAATTAATACCTTTTTATTTTACCTATACAAGCAATAAATTCTCATGCAATTAAATAATTATTGTTCCCTAAAATCGAATTCCTTGTGAATAAATTTGTAATTTTATTTTATTATTTTCTGTGTAACAGAAGCTAAATACACTAGAAAGTGTTCTACAAAATGTTACTTCGGATGTAACAATGGCGAAACTTATAGAAACATGCACAGATAAAGCAGTTCTGAAGGAAGATAGTTCATTTAAAAGGTAAATTATGATAATTAAATTATAATTAATCGTCTTCTTAAGATTAAATTCGTGCACATATAATATAATTGACAAATAATCAATGCTGAATTGTCACCGAAAAATAGATTGGAGACTATAAACAATTGTTTCTCAAAAGAGACTGTGGAAGAAATCATTACTTGTTTGGTAAGTAAAAATATTAAGATGTGAAATTTTGTTTATTTTTATTTTTTTTTTTCTAATTTGTGTCTTTCTATAACATCATTTGAATCATATAGGAAAAGGAATTAGAAAATGGAGCAGAAGAGTGGATAAAAAATGCATTAAGTTCAATGAGTTCGTCTTGTCCTTTAAGCCTCAAAATATTTCTTAAATCGGTAAGTATATGATTAGAAGAAAAAATGAAATTAATTTGCTTAATTATGATATCTTTATGAAAATAACTATTAATTATGTATGATTAATCGATTAAATACCTTTTATTATTTTCTTTGTCTAATTAGATCAGATTGGGCCGTGTTCAAAACTTTAAACAATGCCTTTACCGGGATTACATAATCGGTGCTCACCTGCTAAGAAGAACTGTTAGCAATAATTTCTATGAGGTAATTATTTTTTAGCATCTCCATTTACTGATTTAACAACTTTTTATTTTTTATTTTCAGTGTATAAAGTAGGGTTTATATTTAAAATTATTAGAATTTTTTTTTCTGGATTTTATTTAACTCAAACACAATTTAGGGTTCAAGAGCAAAGCTGTTTAGCAAAGACAACAAACCAAAGGTAAGAGTATTCTTTTTTAATTATATACATTTATTTTTTATTATTATGTGTGTTAATGAATAATTTTACCTTCCTGTTTTATTAATTAGTGGGAACCATCGAAGTTAGAATTGGTTAGCGATGAAATGGTTGATCAGTGTTTGAGAAATATCGACGACGAGGATTTGGAGTGTTTGGAACTTCCTGATCATAGAATTGAAAGCAGATTGTAGACACAAGATTTTAGCTCCTTTTAGAATTTCAATAAATAATTACAGAAGCATTAAACTTTTTAATTCTATACTTGTACCCACCTTCATATGTATTTTTGTGTTATCCTAAATATGGATTAAATAATTATTTTTAAAAACTATAATAATCAAAATATGACATGTATAAATATTGTAAGGATTTCTGTAAATTTGGTGGACATTCAACGAGTTAAGGAGAAAATAAAAAGTTATTGATAAAATTAAGGGTTTACGTATTTAACATTCTCAAAATTAATAGTAAGATATTTTCACATAACAAGAAATAAAAATATTAAAAAACATAAATAGCCATGTCATAGCAATTGTTTATTTAGATAAATAATGTAAATTACATTAAAAATAATGGCAATTAGCATTAGCATTTATTTACTCCAACTACTTAAACTTCCGTTCATCAATGTTTCTTGTAGATTATATGAATTTGGACTTCGAATGCTATTTTCAAATTATGCTCATCTCTTGGTCAACATATAGAAAGTAACATTAGATAATATATTTTCATAGACTTATTAGACTTATAAGTCAAATCAATTCACTTTCTTTATTCTTCTCATTTTTATAGTCTTTGGTTTTCTTAACTAAAAATATAAGAAAAATTGGTAAGAAAATCCAAATTATCTTAATCTCTTTATATCATATTATTTTCTCTTTCTTTAACTACATTTGTTATTAAATGTCATGAGCACACTATCTTCAAGAGAAGCATGATATTTAGATTAAATGCCATCATTTTATTAGTTTTCCATCCCAGAACTAAAGTTCTTAATATAAACAACGGTTTAATTGATTATAACAAATGAGGTGTTATGGGGGACTTGACAAAACTCTTGCTTTAATTATTGAAATAGATAAAATATCAATATTTACACTATCATAACACATTTTTTTATTATTATTTTATCTTTTCTCCTTTGATTACCTTTTTTTTCTCATTTTCTTTCTTTTTTTTTCTTGAATTTCATTTTCTATTATTTTCCTTTTCTTTATTTATTTTCTCTCAACTCCCACTAGTAAAAAAATATATTTTAACTCGCGCATTAGATATTGATTTAGTTGTAACCGAAGCAAAAAATGACACGGTGGCATTTTTGTAATTATCTCAAACATATATGTCTCAGTTAAAAAAGAACCGAAAATGCCTAAAACTGACACGGTGACATTTCTCTAATTATCAGAAACGTATATGTCTCGGTTTAAAAAGAACCGATGCCTAAAACTGACGTAATGACTTTTTTTGTAATTTATCGCAAAGTGTTATTACCCTCGGTTGTTTAAAGAACCGAGGCATAAATAGCTGAAATTTTTTATTTTATTTTTTTGAGAGGGTTTAGGCATCGGTTCTTTATAGAACCGAGGTCGTAGACTCTTATTATCTCGGTTAAAAAAATAACCAAGATAATAACATTTGTTTAGGGTTAAATTTCGCGAACAGGTATGGTGTTGCGTCGCTCCTCTTGTTCGTGGTGTTGTGCCGCTCCTCTTGTTCTTCCATTTTCTTTCATGTGGCCAAGAGGGAGGCTTCGTTCCTCTTCTTTGTTCCTTCCTCCTCTTGTTCGATCCAACCTAGCCTAGGGTTCTTCGTCTCGCGCGGACAACCAACCTAAGGGATCATCAATGGCATGACGGAGACGCGATGGGGGGCGTAGCCATGGCCGAAGGGCGCGGTGGCCACTCTTCTTCTTCTTCTCTCCGTTCTGATTCGTAGCGAAGGAGGAAGTCTCCTTCCCTCCCCTTTTTCTGATTTCGAATGGGTTATTTTCTGTTTGATTGATTCTCTGCAGGAGTGACGGTGTTTGATTGATTCTCTACAAGTGGTGGTGGGAGCGCGTCGTCCTTGTTCTTGTAGTGATTTGGAGGTTGCATTTCGGTGGGCATTGATGGACTTGCGGGCCATGGACTAATGCCTGACCTAGCGAATTCGCGAAAAAAAAACACAAAAAAAAGTGAAAAGAAAAAACCGCTCTACTGCTTCGATTGGATTTGAACCAGAAGCAAAAACACACACATTTTTGTCTCGATTCAGAACCGAGGCAAAAAGCCTACCCCTTTTTATCTCGCCTGTATATGCCTCGGTTGCGGAACCGCTACGTATAAGCAAAAATAACCGTTGTCGTTTCTCTTTATTGTACTAGTGTCCATATATTTAATTTCCTTTTTTTTTCTCACTTTCTCTTTAATTTTGTTTTCTATCTACTTCTCTTTTATTTCTTTTTTTCTCTCATCTTCTTTCACATAGGGCTTGTTCGCCATTGCTCTCTCACTCGGCAGAAGCACAAAGCCGTTAACTTTTCAATATGAAGCTTAAGAATACTAAAAAAATTAACCAAAACATCTTAAAATGCATATGAAATATTTAAATAAAAATAAATATAAAAATTATATTACAAGCACACTAGTACAAGAAAGAAAGATGGCGATTATTTTCGACAATCAATAGCAATTTTCTAATCGATACATATTAAGATGAGGTAAAAAAGAAATATTTTTTCCTTGATTATAAATCAAAGCAAAAAGGTGCAGATTCTATTTCGATTAAAAAAATTGAAACACTAAATCGAAAAAATAAATTAGGTCTATGGCAACAATCGTGAGAAGAATCACTGTCATAGACTTTTTTTTTCCGATTCCACAAACAACCGAAGAGTACATAGATGACTATAATAGTGATTGTGAGAAGAACCACTATCATAGACCCTTTTTTGCTTCAGTTATAAAAATAACCAAGGCTAAAGTCCTTTTTTTTATAATTTTCCTATATTGACTCTAAACAGAAAGCATTTGAAACCAAACCGATCTTTGCCCAGTGTGGTTGAGGGTAGCATGGTCCAAAAACAAATGAGTAAATGTAAGAGTGGTTTTGTTCATCTCATGTTTACATGTTATTATTAAACACACATAGCTCCCAAACCGCATTTACCATAACATTTTAAAATATAAACAAAAGTATTAAGTGGTTAACTTTGTAAAGGAAAAATATTGAAACAACTTAGGAATGAATTTAAATTGAGCACAATCAAAGACAGAGTTTGGCTATATATGAGCACACCATAGAATTATGAACTAGACTACCATCTGCAATTGCATATAAGAACCAAAGCATATTACACAAGTTAATATGTCAAATTTGCACTATTGTACAAAGACAAAATCGCAAAAAAAAAAAACAATGAAAATTTACGCTCACCATGATGGCAAGAGACAACGAAGCGACGATGAACAACGACAATGAGGTGCAAAGCAGTGATGCGATCGAGAGTGAGGGTGACCTTCAAAATTAGAGATGGAGTGAGTCGATGAGTGGACGACGATACTCATTCACGAAGAAAGAAAGAATAGAAATGTGAAATGGTAACGATTATTCATAATAAGTGAGGCCATATGTCATTCTCATAAAACAAAAAACAAGTGACAATTTTAAAATTTTGATTACCTTTAAATTTAATTATTAGGAAACGATGTTGAACAAGTAGATAGTGACAACAAGTTATTGCAAAAATGAGATGTATGTTTTTCATTGACAATTTAAAATTTTGATTATTCTTTTATCTAAGTTATTTAGAACATTGTTATAAAAATTAGATACGACTTGTTCAAATAACCAAAATTATGTGTTATTCAGATAAAAGAAATAAAAAATTAAAAAATTGAAAATTTTGTGACTCATGATTAATAATACCTCGAAAATTGTCCGCAGACGAGGATAAAAGATAACAATGAATTGTTTGTCTTCACAAAGGAGGTTCATGAAAGTCTCTTAATTTGCATTGAATAGGAACAAACTGTGTCTGTTTGGTAGTACGATAAGACAGAGGACGAAGTGAACGTGCAATGGGACCAATATGGGGAGGATGCGGTGACCAACTTTATTTAATTTTGATGTGTTAAATGATTAATTTAATTTTTAAAAATAAAAAAATCAGTAAAAATTAAATAAAATAAAGTAAAAAAAAAAGTGACTGAATTTGTCCACACCAATATAAATATAAAGGTGTTCTTAAAAAAATTTGAAACTGCATTTCGATAAATGTAGATAGAATTCTAACGCCAAAAACACATTTTTTAATTGCATGAAAGATTTCACCAGCTAACACTTTTATCTCGATGACTTAATGAATGTGAGAGAGTTTTGAGTGATGTCAATTTCTTTGCTCATAAATTTTTAGATGTGCATTAAAATAATAGAAATTCGCATAAGCAATTATTTAGTCCAACTACTTAAACTTCCGTTCATCAATTTTCTTCTAGATTATGTGAATTTGGGACTTCAATGCTATTTTCAAATTATGCTCATCTCTTGGTCAACGTATAGAAAATGCCTTTAGATAATGTATTTTCGTAGACTTATTAGTCAAATCAATTCACTTTCTTTATCTTCTCATTTTTATAGTCTTTGGTTTTCTTAACTAAAAATATAAGAAATGTGTAAGAAAAATCGAAATTATGCTTCATCTCTTTATCATTCTCTTAATATTGGTGATACCTTCTCAAACTAACTTTTAATTCAATTTATTCCCAGAATAAGTTTATACAGTTAAGTTGATTGCATATTAACTTAATATGATATAACATTTTTAAACACTCAAATCTAACTAACAAAACCATCAACACCATCTAATCTAAACCTAAAATCCAATCCCCGAAACAAAACTAAATCATAGCACATAAACCACGTAGAAAGCATCCTACCCAAAGACAAATCACGCACAGACACGCAAAACCATACAAGACACATATCATTCACAACATCACCACTAAACATAGAACCCACCCCCTTACACAAGAACATTACAAATACCCATTTAAACTCCTCGACTACAAATCAACATCCTAACCTGCAAAAATATAACCATACACTCTCTCCTAACTCCTACCCCCCCACCACAAAATAGAACCTATCTCCAAGCTCAGTAAAATCTTATACACCAGGGTAATCATAAAGCAAGATAGACCATATCCTTACA